TACTCAATGACTGAACTTTCATGATCCATTGGGATCATTATCCTCTGAGTGAGTGAAATTCCCATTCATCTCAGAGCTACATGGTTTGTCCTTTAATCTGAGACTATGTTTCCATGTCCTAGAACCCCAGAGGCAGAGAAAACATCCCTTCTGACAGCAATGCCCACATCCCAAGAACAAAACCAAAAACAAACAAGAGCTTCAAACAACATATTTTCAAAAGCAGGCTGGTGATATATGCATCAGTTGTTTTTTCTTAAAAATTCAATCCTGGATGAAAAATTTAAAGAAAGCAACTGTTCAATATGCAGTAAGAAGAACGATAATATTAAACTGATAAGGCAGTTGTTCGCAGGCCCATTATTGTTCAAACAGAATGGTTTGGTTAGACATATGCAAGTGTGTCCCTCTACTCAGGTCATATGACATTGATTAGAATTCATAACCAAAGATTGAAGAATGTTTTTCTCCACGATGCATGAAAGGAAATGAAATTGCTTCTGTAAATGCATCAAGGCCACCATTTCATCATCCACATTGTGTACCCCAGTGAGTTCCCATTGTCCTTCCAGATGCACAGTAATGCAAGGAAAGCGAGGTATCTGTATTAAATAAATAACTTTGAATATACTTGGGAATTCTCTGGTCAACCATCTATGCAGTTCAGAGGTTAAAATAAGTCCAACTTTTGTAATTTGAAGTGGTTAAAAAATACATTTTGTACCCAGCAAAGTATTGTCTTAAATGACCCAAGGCTGTATCTTTTATGAGTTGCTTGAGATTTTTGGAGGGTTTTTCACCACAAGGCATAGTGCATTTTCTCTCGTATTTTATGAAATTTGCCCATTAACTATTTACTCACTTATCTACCCTTAGCCTTGTCTGAGTCTAGCCCCGTTTAATCACATACCATTCTGGGAGCAATTCACCACTGTCCAATATCCCAGTGTTGATTGGCATCCCTGGTACCAGTGTGCATATAGACAAACATTCAGTCTGGAACTGTTTTTGCATATTCCTTCCATTTTCCTTGGACACGGCAGGCAAGGGGAAATTTGTCTGAGTTCTGAGGAAGGGTCACCGGACCCGAAACATTAACTCTGATTTTCCTTCACGGATGCTGCCTGACCTGCTGAGCTTTTCCAGCAACTTTGTTTTTGTTCCTGATTTACAGTATCCGCAGCTCTTTCATTTTTTTATTTAAGGGGAAATTTTTGCTGTGTTTGGCAGACAGGGACCTGGAGGTCCACCTGGAGCTAGTGTAGAGGTGGGACATCCTCTTCTCCCATGACCCGCAGAGGAGGCAATAACACCAAACCATAACAACCTGGTCTGAGGTTGCCCCCATCCAAGCAAGCACAATCTCAGACATTTGGACAAATGTTGGAAGAAGATCAGTGAACTTTGTGTCCATGCTGAACAGCATTGCAATAAAGTCATACTGTGAGTCTGGTGTCTCTGGCCAAGGGGCAAAAGTGAAAGATTGAGTTTCCATGTTTATCAGTAGCCCTAGCTACTTTCTAATCATAGATGTTATTACATACACCTGGCACAATGGGATTTGAACCCATGCCTCCAGTCTCAGTTTTAGAGACACGCCCACTGCACCACAACAGCCTGTCCTCCTTGTGTGAAGTCTGGATAACAAGCATCATAACTAACAATGTAGAACATCACAATAAGGCTGAGATAACAAGGCATAGAGCTGGATGAACACAACAGGCTAGGCAGCATCAGAGGAGCATGAAAGCTGACATGTCGGGTCTGGACCTTTCTTCAGATTTTCTGAAGAAAGGTCCAGACCTGAAACGTCAGCTTTCCTGCTCCTCTGATGCTGCCTGGCCTGGTGTGTTCATCCAGCTCTACACCTTGTTATCTCAGACTCCAACATCGGCAGTTCCTACTATCTCACAATAAGGCTGATCTGTTTTTTCAACCGACAACTCATATGAACTGTTGGAGTGGCTAACAATAGAATTTGTGTTCATTAAACTTGCGTTCTTCTGGGTTGTGTAACTTATGACAACATTAATTGCTATCTTTTCTCATTAGGCCATTGATAAAATTGCCATCAAATATTTAGTGATTAATTGCACACAACTATGTTTGCAAATACTTCATGTATTTGTTACAACTGTTTGCAATTACTTCATGTGTGTGTTACAATCCTAATTCAACCATGTCATTCTTTAATGTATGAAAGACTGTTTTAAAATCATAAAGCAGTTGTTTGACTTTGATTACAAGCAATATTTTGAACAGAAAATATTTGTTCTTCTATAATATTGTCTCAGAAAATCTGTTTAGATTGTTATATAATTAGATCAATAATTAGAGATTGATAGCTTTCACATTAATAAACCTGAATAACTTAACAATTTTTTTACGTAATCAGGAATGCAGACTATTCAGTGTTTAGTATGTGTCATGATTCACAAATAAGCAACTGTTTCCAAAACAATTCTAGACCTGCATTATTATCTAGGAATGGTTCATCTGTGTTAAAGCTTTTGCTGTTACAGTTTTAATTGTATAAGGTGTTCTGATTTGTTTTAGTGGATTCTGGTCATGCACAATGGAGCATAATAGAAACTGGTTCCAGCAGGTTCACGATGACACATACAACACAGCTTCAAGGAAAAGCTGTTAATCATCAAGAGTGTGACATTGTATTATTATTGGATTTGTGAATGCATTTTTTTCCATATTGTAAATCATGCACAAGAGATTTTATCAAGCTCTATCATAATGAAATGGACTCAGAAAGGTTTGAGGACAATCATAAATAATACTGTATATCCTATATACTAGTAGCTCAAAGTGTTTCAGTCCTGTTAGATAATAAATTTAAGATATATTTGGATGCATCAACAGCTGTAAAAGATATCCAACCACATTATCTGCAAAAGATTTTAAATCCTATGATGTGTTACCTTACAAATTAGTGGATATAGTGCAACAGATTTACTCTTATTGCTGTGGTTCTCTTTTTCTGGTTAATAAAGTATCAGCTGAGATAATTAAAACTAGTCTATAGATAGCTTTCAACGTTATTACATGTAACAAAGTTTATGTCCATCTCTGTGTTAAACTTATTTCAGAAATATATTGTGAGTAATAAATTCTTTGGTTATATTTTATGCATTATCATGGAATTATAGAATCCCTATAGTGCAGCAGCAGGCCATTTGGCCCATCAAGGGCACATCAACCCTCCAGACAACATCCCACCCAGACCCACCCACCTACCCTGTCTCTGTAACCCTGCATTTCCCATCGCTACTCCACCTAGCCTGCACATCCCTGGACACTATGGGAAATTTAGCATGGCCAGTCCACCTAATCTGCACATCTTTAGACTGTGGGAAGAAACTGGAGCAACCAAAGGAAAAAACCACGCATACGCAAGGAGAATGTGAAAACTCCATATAGACAGTTGTCCTGGAATTGAACCCAGGTGCCAGGTGCTGTGAGGCAGTCGTACTAACCACGGTGCCATCAGCTGGAAAATAAAATTTAGAATTTCTGTTTAGCTCTAATTGCAATATTCCATGTTGTATATTCCATAAGTTTCAAATGCTAAACAACTTAGGCAGTGGATCTAAACTAACATGCATATTCTATTGAACAGGGTCACTGTCAACTTGAGAACTAAGGAAGATGTGCTGCATTACTTGTCACTATTATCTCAGGTGAAATACAAAATTAAAAAATCTGCTAATGGTGGATGTGCAAAGACAAAAATACCAGAAATTCACAGCAGGTTGATCATAATCTTAAAGAGTTCATTGGTTAATCTATTAAAGATGTGGTCTCATGATGAATGGGCAGTCAGTTTTGATTGAATTTCCATTCAAAACAGAAATCTATTTTTGATGTTGAAGACAAATGGAAAGTACAGTGTATTTCTTGCATTTACTGTACTGTTTAATTTTTTCTTGGCTCAAGCCAGTGTTTTCCCTTCTCTGTAGGCAAAAAGTAGCCTTTTAAACGTCACGCAGAAAATGATATAAATTAATAAACAGTAACTGTGAAGCCTTGTAATCATGCTTCATTCAAGTGATGCTGATAATCTGCTAGCTGTTATGATAATGTTTGACCAGTTTGTAGGTCATGTGAGTTATGATTTTTTATGATCAATGCTTTGAAACGAAAGTACGTTACATTTAGATTTTCTATCAATTGGATACAATTCAGTGACACCTTTTCCACATGTAAGGTATTAATCTGTTTAACTGTTAGGAAATCAATATTAAGTGGCATTGATTATGCAAAACAGTCTTTAATTAATGACTTCTTATTGGCCTTGTTGGTGTACATACACTACATGGACTGCAGCAGTTTAAGGAGGTAGTTCTCCACCACCTTCCCAGGAGCAACCAGGGATGGGCAATGAATGCTGGCCCCACCAGCGACACCCGTATTCCATGAATTAATAAACAAAAATTGTAAAATTTTTCAGGTTTCTTGCCTATCAGTGTCAAAAAACTAGTTTGCATTTCTCTTCCTGGACTGGAGTATTTCTTGTTTTAATTGATGAGGAACTCCAGTGCTGGTTTCTGTTCCCTCAACCTCAGAAGCCTCTGCCACCTCATACAGCTCACCAGCCAGACACAGGTTTAATGATATTCAATGTGCACTTCAGCTGAATTTGTCTATATTTCTAGTTCATCATTTAGTTCATAGCATAACTTCTATAAATGGTGTTGAAATAGCTAAGGGTGGAAATGCTGGAAATTCCAGAGTTCAGGTACATTCAGCATACAGTATTCTTAACTCTTATGCTGTCTCTTAGGTGGTAAGATTTTGTGCACCTATCAGGAATATTTACCATTGTGGCGGTCAGTGGTGAGTTGATGTACTACACAGGTGACATGGGTGTTGCCTCTGGTACTGAGGAGTCATCCTTGATGTCATTATTATTTTGTCACTTGATGGAAAAGTTGCTATGTTGCACCACTTGTTGGCAATATTATCTTATACTGTGTTCCATTCAACAGCTCTGCAACCATTTTGATGTCAGCCTTGAGAGGTGTGGATCAGAGTAACAACATGACAAGGTTTGAATTTTCCTTTATCTGTTGGTTTTTTTGTGAGAGTTCCCTTGATCTCTGGACCTATGTATCTAAAACCTATGATCTGTTGGATAATGTGATGTTGTTGAACCTGTTCTGTTCATCAAATTCCTCAAACTGTAGTAAATTATTTTCGATAGTCACATTATTCTTTCAGGAATCCCTTGTTCAGTTAATAAGAGTCGTAATGCTGAGATGATGGTTGTAACTCTCAAATCCTAAAAGGAAATTTTGAGGAGTAGTTTGCGATTATGAGGTGCCATTCTTGATTGTGTGTGAATAACCAGATGCCACAGTATCTATAATTTGCGTAATACTTCAGTCGTTATCATCTCTTTCCATTGTGTTTTTCTATACGTTTTGGAAACAACGCATTCATCAAACTTCGGACACAAGTGCCAAGTGTATAATCCATTTTGGCTTCCTCCAAACATCCCCAGTATCTCAGACGTCAACCTCCAGCCAATTTGTATTACTTCACGTGATATCAAGAAATGGCTGAAGGCACTGGATACCGTAAAAGCTATGGGTCCTGACAACATTCCAGCAATAGTGCTAACAAATTGCTCCAGAACTTGCCACATGCATTGGCAAGCTGTGTCAGTAGAGCTAGAACACTGGCATCTACCTAACAATATGGAAAATTGCCCAGGTATGTCCTGTACACAAAAATCAGTACAAATCTAACTTGACTGATTACCACCCCATCTGTCTACTTTTGATCAATAGTAAAGTGAAGAAAGGTGTGATCAACAAATCTATCATGCAGCATTTACTTAGCAATAACCTCACAGATGCCCATTTTGGATTCCTTCTTGGTTCAAACATGGACTTGGTTCAAAAGAGCTGAACTCCAGAGCTGAGTTGAGAATGACTGCCCTTGACAATATATTCCAACATATAAGAAAAATTCCAAGGGATGAACTCTCAATCCACAGTTCAAATTTAAGAAAGCTTAAAGAAAAATAGTGTGTAATTGTGCAGAGATAGCAAGAACTGCCGATGCTGAAGTCAGAGATAACAGTGTCGAGCTGGAGGAACACAGCAGGTCAGGCAGCATCAGAGGAGTAGGAAAGTTGATGTTTCAGGTCGGGACCCTTCTTCAGAAATTCTTCGTGTGCAGAGATAGGTGATGAAATAACTCTACAGAGGTAGTGTACAGTATTGTGCAACTTTTATTTAAGGAAGGTAGAATGCATTGGGAGTAGACTACTGCCTGGAATTAGCAGGTTGCCTTTTGAACAAAGTCTGGATAGGATAGGCTTGTATCCATTGGCATTTAGAAGAGTAAGAGGCAACTTGATTGGAACATGCAAGATCCGGGTAGGTGTGAATTGCATGTTTCCTCTTATGAGAGCATCTAGAAATAGGGCTCACTCCTTAAAAAATAAAGGACCACCCGTTTAAAAGAGAGAGGCCATTTTTATCTTTCAGAGCTGTAAGTCTTTGGAACTCCCATCCTGAAGAAGTGGTGGAAACAGAGTCCTTGACTTGCTTTTTAATGCAGTGTTCCAGAGATTATTGTTAAGCAAAGGTGTAAAACAGTTATCAGGGTTAGGTGAGAATGTGAATCTGAGGTTACAGTCAGATCAACGATGATCTTATGAAATGGTTGAATGGCCTATTCCTGCTTCTTGTTTGTTTGTGTGGTTTATGTGAGACTTCACTGAAGGAAACTTGGATCCAAGAGATTACTTTTTCACAAACTAACAAAAGTTTATAGGATGATTCTTTATATGGAACATGGTAATTAGGTAAAGGCTGCTTTAAAACTCACTTTTTAAAAAATTCTGAATTCAATGTTGAAGGGGAAGCTTGTTTACAAAACTGAAATAATTAACATTAAAAAAATGTAAAAATTCCTAATATCATGTTCAGGGATATTGGTTTGAAAGTATCCAAGCTGATCAGGTTATGCAATTAAATAAACCTGTATTCATTAACAAGTATATCTGGAAATTCAGCTCCCTCACACTGCAAAACCTGACTTTTCCAAATGCCCTCACAATTCGATGAGCTGTAATTATTGATAGGTAAAATTATGTTTCAAAAAGTGATGATAATGTAGAATATTACGTTAAATTGTATTTTTTTCTACCTTCAAGTTCTGATATTCACTTTTTGTGATTCCTGTCCTGTACTCACTAGTGGCTTGCATCAGTTTGCTGTTGACCAGCATGGACTTAGTTAACTTTGGAGAAAGAGGTAAAATTTAAGAGATTGGGACTATTGCCCTACAACAATGTACCAAGTGTGGCAGAATGACAGCAACTCTGCTGCGCTATATTTTTGTATCTTAAATTCAAAGCCAATATATACAGCAATGGTCTCTCAATCTGCTAGCACAGTTAAAACAAAATGTGCCTTTCAGATAGAAAAATACTTCTGTACATTTCTGATATGATCTTGTGTAATTCAACTGTTAGATTTGGATGCACAATCTGTTGTACACCACATTATTCTAGAATATTAAGGATTGATCTGTATATGTCATTTCGAAGGTCAACATGTCATTGAAGGTGTGTCTAAACCAAATTAAGAAGTTATTCCATTTGGAGCACGTTCTTTCCCGAAGCTAGATTCAAAACAAAACCACCTAGATGTTCTGTATGATGAGAACTCTTCTCTATTCTTTTCCTGCTTCCTCTTTGGTCTTTCCCCAAGCAGAATTGTCATTTCATGTGAGATTCTACTCAGTGGTTCCACTGTGATCCATGCTGGCTTTTCCTTGCTGCCACTGCACTGAGAAGGTGGGGCCTAGCTCTCCAGAGGAGCATCTTGTATTAGCCTTACTTACTGCCATATTTTGGTGTTAGAACGGAGAAGGACTCAAGAATGGGAGTAATGTTGTTTCCATTGCAGCAGAATTGAATATTTTCCTGTTCCCAATGCATACTTTCTAACCAGCAGGTACCCCACTGCTCTGCATTGATACTGATCTCTGACTTGCTGAAATGGATTGGAGTTGTGGCAGGCTTGGAAGATTGCCAAAAAAGGATGCTTCCTGGGCTCATGCATTTTTTTTTTTATTTGTCCGTGGAATCTGAGCTTTGCTGGTAATGCCAGCTTTTAGTTCCCAACCTCTTTTATTTTTGTGCAATTGTATTGTGGTTTCTTCTTGAACTGCCGAAGTAGGGGAGGAATTGGCACAGCAGTATTGTATTTGTATTAGTAATCCAGAATACCAGGCAATGGTTCTAGGTTTAGATATATGTTCAAACCAACCATAGCAGATGGTGAAATTTGAAGTCAACAAAAATAGAGAATTAAAAGCTAGCATAATAGATTACTGTTGATTGTCTCAAAAAACCCATCGGGTTCACTAATGTTTCTCAGCAAAGGAAATCTGTCATTATTACCTGCTCTGATTTACATGTGACTCTGGACATGACTTTCTGGGCAATTAGAGGTGGGCAATAAGTGCTGGCCTAGCCAGTGTTGCCACACCTCATGAACAAATTTTTTGATGAAAAATGTGGTTATCTATATCCATTGTGCTGTTAAAGAGAATCTTGTAGGATTTTAACCCAGTGACGGTGAAGGAATGATGACGTATTCCCATAGTATGTGGCTTGAAGGGGAACATGCAGGTGCTGGTACTCCTACATGTCTACTGCTCTTGAAATATTATGTAAGTGCTTAGCGTTACCTCAAGACTCCAAGCAGATCAGTGTTTGTGGAGTCCATTGACTCCAACTCTGTAATCTGAATTAGATGCAACTCAGATCATTTGATTTGTTTATTTAAGCAGGAATAAAGAATTAGCCTAACAAAGATCCTTCAATACAAATAATATAATGCTTTGTCATTGGCTCCATGGAGCTCTGCTTGCTTTTGGAATGTTACATAACATTTGATGGAGGGAGTGTTATTTAGATGGACATATCACCCTGGCAAACAATGCTATCCTACAATGTAAAGCAGTTGAATCCTGTGCTTCAAATTGTGCTCCAGTGGATTTCAAGAAACAAGAGACGTTTGGATGATATCATTAATGATAATATAAAGTAAAGGTAAAGTCACCACAGTCCTACAGGACCATAGGGCTGTCTCTGGTTTGAGAGAGACAACTGGTGGTGGTTTATCGGAGGGTCACCATGCCTCAGGCGAGGGAAGAGATGGAGAAAGAGAGTCTTTCATGGTAAATAATGTAGGAATTGAACCCACATTATCGGCATCGCTCTGCATCACAAATCAGCCATCCAGCCGACTGAGCTAACTGACCCCCATAATATAAACATGTATAAAAGATAATTTAAATGTAACTTGAAAAATATGTATTTTTCCCAAACAAAGATCAGCAGTAACATAGGAGAGAGTGGTATGTGAAGATTATATGTCCCTGCTGAGGTATTTCTTTCCCAGACCTTTATCTGTACTATAAAAGCTGTTAAATACAGATGGAGCAAGCATAGAGTGTCAAAATAAAATTGGAATGCTATTCATTTTAGTTGAAGTCCTGATAAGTTTGTTTACAGTTTGGCCTCCAGGAAGGTTTGCACAAGTAGGACGTTTATTGGCTAGATAATCAATTTGTCTTTGAAAATTTCAAACCCTCATTGTACTAAATACTTACCATACAGAAACACATTTTTTAGTTTCAGCAGTCTGGCAGGATTTATAGAGGGAAAGCAGAGTTAATGTTTTGAGTCCAGTTCAGAACTTTAGTTAACTCTGTTTTCTCTCCACAAATGCTGCCAGACCTACTGAGTTCTCGAGCAATTTCCGTTTTTGTTTCAGATTTTCAACATCCACAGTTCTTTGTTTTATTTTTGTTTTTAGAAACTGACGTGGCGAACATTTGTTTGGGGGTGGTGAATTGTTTGAAGCCTAAGGGCGGAACTGAAGAACTATGTATGGGGATTCTCAGAATGAACGATTTTTTTTTTAATATTCTTTTGTAGGAAATATGCATCACTGGCTGGTCCAGCATTTTCTACTGAACCCTTGCCTAGTAGTAGGTGGTGGTGTGCTGTCTTCTTGAA